CAAAATGGTAGTAGTTAGAGACTGCTAACTTTGATGAATAAGCTGGGTATGGTCGCATTCTCAGATCGAGATCCACGATCTTTTGGTGTGGCCTGATCTTAACATGCGGTCTTCGCAATGCCGAGCGCTAGAGAAAAATTGAGTATTTCAAGCTTGACGTCATCCATGTTGTGAGGTCGGTTAGAGAGGACTGTAGTCCTTACCGTTATGCTAGTATCCAGAGATACCGCTTTGAAGTCCCACCAATAACCTACTGAAATCTTTTCCCATGCACATGTGCTTTTGGCTGTGCAATCTACTTTTCTGTTCGAGAGATCCTGCGAGGAACATGTGCAAGATGTACGCAAGGACCCCACCACTCTCTACCAACCACAAGATCTCACAAAAGTTCCTCCAGTGTGTACAAGGAAAAAAAAACCCAGTCACGGTCATACGGTATGACTTGTCAGAGGGGTTCAACTCATGGGGCATCCTTCATAAAAATTTTTTCCAAAAACCGAGACTGCGGAGAAGCATGGCAGTTGTCAGTTAGGTGGAGCCTAGAGAGGTTGCCAACTTACTGGTGGTTACGTTCGGCTGCGCCTCAAGAACCTTGAGTAAAGGGCCGTCATTCTGTGCTGGTGGCCGACCTATACATTGCCTACTTCCGAGTTGAATAAGTCCAGCCTGGAAGCGCTGATGCAAAAGGAACTCTCTGCTATGGCAAGCGATATCCTTCCTTAAGACAACGTAAGAGTTAGCTTCCTCGACTATGGGGGAGTTGCCCTACAGGAACTCATAATATGGGACAGGTCGAGGAGTACCTCGATCTTTGAGGTATTTTTAAGCTTTGAAAACTTCCACGGAGCCATGATATACCCATTTTCAGAAACCTCAGGAGACAGTCTCCACTAATCAGAGATAAAAACATTCAAAATGATTTTTGGTCTTTTTCTAGAATAGTTCAAACAAAGTGTCGCAGGACTTTTCGAACAACCTAATATTGGGTTTGACATCTAAATCCAGAAGGACCTCACGCGGATTCTTCCCAACGCCGGCAATTTCTCCAGGAGGCGAACACGACCCCGCTCCCCTCTCCCAACAACGAACGAGTACCACCCCTCCCTTAATAGCGCCTGAAACGAGAGAAATTTTCACACTTTAGAAAAATGTTTACTCAGACCAACATATGACCCCTCACCCCCCCCCCCCAGCGCCAAAGTGCGAAACCCACCCCCGTTGCCGGGAATTCCCAACGATATGGCTGTTTCCTTTCCGAAATTTTTCCTAATCAGGTTCTGACTTTTCTCATAAAAATGTTGGGATTTTTCAGAAATAAAAGGGTGGCTTTTTCAAACTTTCTTCTTTATGAGTATTTCGAAACGCACATAATGTAATAGAAAGATAACGGCGAAAAGAAAAACCTGCGAAAAATTTAATTTCGTGGGAACCGACGGGTCGCCCGGCGCTTCTTCCCGGCGATATCCCCTTCCGCATGTGAAAACACTGGCGGAATGAACCTAGACGTTGAATTTCAAAAAAGGGACGACAACGAACAGGCGCCATATTGAGGCAAACTAAAACTTGGGGTCGTTTTTCGAGCAATTTTGCAACTCTTTGATAAGAGAGATGGCAATGGGGGTGAGTTCGTGCGCGATGCCACACGGCGGGCTCCAAGTTAGGCTCAGCGCTAGAGAAACCTATCCCATAGATGACTTTCGGGATGTTTTACAAAATGGCAAGGTAAAATGTTGCAGCAGAGCAAACCTTTCCATTGAAATAGGCCATACATCAGTCTACACATAGAGGCGTGGAGAAACCCAAAAGAAAGGAGATATGCACCTGAACCCCACCAGTAATAGCTGATGTTTTAAAAGGAACTTGAAGCGAGGGACCATGGCCATTGGAACCTTCCATTCTCTCGAAGAAAAGAGCATATGACAGAAAAAAAAATCGAAAACTAGGCAACGTTATAAGAACAAGTTCAGGGAGGGTAAAAGTTGGCAATGGAAGGGAACGGAGAGTAGAGAGCCTGCTCCATTCATGAAGTAGACCTGGGACCTTTCCCACCCTCACAAGGTGTAGCGACTGCGCTGAACAATGAAAGAACAAAGAATGAATCAACCATAAAAGCGGAC